CCTGCAATTTCCTTTTACCAAAACTACTCCAGAAAACTGCTCACCTGGCCAGTCCCCTGACCCACACAAGAATGACATGCTCCTGCTCTGGAGCGGGAGATAGCGCCGAGGCCTCTGACCTTTTGGGACTGTAGCCACATGTTGCACACAGAGCAGGGACAGGGCTAGACTGGCCCACGTACACCTGGCTAGGCGCACTTACCTGGAGTAGTCACAGAACACCTCCAGGGTCCGCGTGTCCAGCAGCAAGCCACACCAGGGGAACAGGCAGTGGGCTGGCAGCTGGAGGGGCGCCATGCTGCCCAGGGCATCGTCTTCCAGGGGGAAGTTCACTACAGTCTTCCGCAAGTTCGCCTTGCAGCCGTATTCGGGCACTCCCCTGGACAGGGTCCTGAAACAGACAGGCCGCTTCAGCCACTGGGAGAGGGATGCCACTCAGGGTCTCGGACACAGTCACTCAATGCTATGTAAAACCCCAAGAGGCAGCGGGGAGCAAGGGCTGGCACTGGAGGGAGGCCACACCGACCCTGTGGGCCTCCAGGTGCTGGTTTCCAAAGGCTCTGGATGACCAGTGCCAACGATCAAAGAACAGGGTGGCTGCCAGGAGGGCAGAGGCTGGCAGCAGGGGAGGGAAACAGAAGGCTGAGTCCTGAAGGCCAAGTAGATGCCACATGACCCTGTTCACAGGTAAGACAGGTGAGCAAAGAGCTCAGGCTCCAGTTTGAGAACTGAGACCGGCCAGATGGGAGGGTAGGCAGGGCCCATGGAGGACACAGGTCCTCTCTGCAATGGCCAGCTGTGTCCACTCAGAGACCACAGTCCCAACGTGTGCTGGGGTCTTTGTAGGCGAGGTCAACATCTGCATTCAGACAGCTTAAAGGTGGTTACCTTCCATAGTAGGGTGGGCACACCCATCAGAAGGGCCCAAGAGCAGAAGCAGGAAGTGAAATAAGTCAGTCAGAGAAAGATAAACATCACATGCTCTCACTCATTTGTGGATTATAATGAACAACATAAACCATGAACAAAAACAGATGTAGGGACAGAGAAGCATCCATTAGTGCTCAAAACTCAGAGAGAAGGCAGGGGAGGGTGGGGGTGAGGGGAAAAGATCAACCAAAGGACTTGTATGCATGCATATAAGCAGAAGTGATAGATGTGGACAACAGGGGGTGAGGGTGAGGGCAGGATTGGGGAGATGAGGGGACATTGGGGGGATAAGGACACATTTGTAATATCTTATTCAATAAAAGAAAAAAAAAGAGCAGAAGCAGGGTGTCCTGAGAAGGGAGAGTCCTCCCGTGGGTGGTGGCTTGGGCTCCTGCCCTTCCTGCTGCTGCCCTGTGAACTGCAGACTCGCCTCGCCAGCCCCCACTATCACATGAACCGACTCCTTGCAATAACTCTGTATATGTCCCCAATAGTCCAGCTCCCAGTGGACCTCAGCATACACATTCTGAGCCACCTCCCTGCCCACCCTCAGAGCAGCGGTGTCCCCCTCCGCCCCCCGGATATTCCACAATGGAGGCCACGCTCCCTGCCTGTGCCGTGCCCTCTGGCAGCCCCTGGCCACGTGTGGTTACTGATTTCTTTGAAGGTGGCTGGTGCCCGGGGTCCTGGATTAGTCATGATTGAACTTGGATGAATTTACATTTGCACGCCATCCTGTGTGGGCTACTGTGTGCGGCCGTGAGGCCCGGCATGTCCCAGCAGTACTGCCCATCCTCCAAGCCCAGAGGATCCCCCGGGGGCAGACGTGGGGTATCCGGACGCCATCCTGATGGGTTCTCCAAAGACAACCCTGCGACCAAGCACACTGCCCCTCAGGCAGTGACATTCTATGAGTTTGGTTTTATCCTTCTCTCGTTCCTGGGAAACTGCCCTGTGAAACAAGCCCCAGGTTCCCGGGGTCCTGGAAGGGACGGCACACTGCAGGCAGCACACCAAGGCAAGGTTCCCTATCTGTGGAATTTTATTTTGAACAAAATGAACTTATGACCAACACCTCATGTGATCCCCGTGCCTTATAATACTGTCACTTAACAAGACCCTGTCCGTTCTCTCCTAATGCCAACCACCATGAAAGAGACGCCACACTAGAAGCTGCAGACAAGCACGCAGGGCCGGCTCCTGTTACTCCTTCATGGGCACCTCCTGGGCACAGACTCCCAGAGGTGTGCCACGGCCCTCTCCGCTGCCCAGAGCACTGCGTGCGCATACATTCCAAGGAGCCCAGCCCAGGCACCTGACCCACACTTGCTCCCTCCCTCTGGCGATACATGTGTCCTGGTGCCACACTGTCAGCTCCAGGCTTCTACGCTGTATGCCTGGGGTCTCAGAACAGCACAACTGTGCTACATGCCCTCTGCAGAGATGCTGGGGCACCGTGGGAAGCTTGGGCACAAGGTGAGAATTACTTCTGAGACGAGCAAGGTCAGCAGCATGAGGCCACAGAGGCACCTGCCGTGATACACACGTGTGTGCAGGCCCTTACCTGAGAAAGGCCTTCGCTTGTGTCAGGTGAGGGGTGACCAGCAAGAAGTCGTCCACTAAACGCAGGAGCACCCTGGTAGGAGAAGAGGCACGAGGAAGGGCATTAAATACGAGGAAGGGCGTTAAATACGAGTTCATATGCACGAAAACAAAGTAATCTGTGCGACTCGGTACTAGCTGGGGACAGAGGGCAGGGGCCCCGCGATCACGCCAGCACCGCCACCAGCTGGGTCCTCTGGAAACGCCATGTTCCCAGTGCACTGGGAGCCGCTCCCAGCCTACGTCGGAGGCCTGCTCGCTACCTCGTGAAACCTCCCGTGAAGAAAGGGCAGCCCTGTCTGCACCAGAGCATGGGAGGGGGCGAAAGCAGCCAAGGGCACCAATGACAAGGAGCCCGTTACCCGTCCTGCTGGAGTCCGGGGAACACCCTGCTCTCCATGTCTCCGTAGCACAGGCTGCACAGCAAGGTGGACAGGATGGAGCCCTGGGGGATCCCCTGACACTGGATGTAAAACCTGGGGGGAGACGTGGGCAGATGGGGGGGGGCGCGTGTTCATATCACAGACACGCGTGCAGACCACATGCACATGCAGATACGCTGCTCGGAGCACACAAACATGCGCGGACCACACACACAGGGAACACATATGACACATCCGCCCGCGAAGCCCGGCCATGGGCCGCCCACGTGGGGCAGCAGGTGGCCCTGACTCACCTGCCCCCGATCCTCACGGTGTGGTTGTACACCAGGTGCAGGAAGACATCGAACAGGTCGCTGCTGTCCTCGTTCAGGGAGCAGCTCTGGAAAAGCAAGTGGGAGACGCACGAGGGTGAGCAGACACGCCAGCCGGAGACGTGCAGGGGGGCAAGGGGTGGGCGGGAGCAGACGAGCAGCAACAGCATGGGTCACCCGTGGCTCTGGCGGGGCTCAGACCCAGGGCCACTGGCCCAGACGGCTTGTGCCACACACTGACTCTGTGGACGTGGTGGGGCCCTGTGGCCACAGGAAAGGCACCCATCCAGGGGGCTCAGAGCCATGCTTGGAGGACTGACTCAACCGAAAGTGGTTCTGCAGAAAGCCACACTCAGGAACAGTCCCTGCGCAGGCACGAGAAACCTGGGTTTCCCCTGAGGGGTCAAATCTAATGTGTCTTCCCGTAGCACAGGGGCATGTTTTCTCCTGGCCTCAAGATCAAAACGGAGGGAGAAGACATCCCTAGCGAATCTTAAAGCAGCTGGACAGTAACACAGAATTCAGTGAGGTGCAAAAAGAGAAATGCAGCTGAAGGCACAGCAAGTGTCTGCTGGCTGAGGGTGGCCTTGCCGTCTGCCCACAGCAACCTGCTCGATGACCACGGCGTCCCTCAGCGAGCTCGTCTTCTGCAGCTGCTGCACAAACTGTTTCATGTAAGGCTGGAGGTCCGTGAAGGTGGACACCTGCCGGCGAAGAGGACAGGCGTGAGGCAGGTGGGCACCTCCCTCCCGAGCCCTGGCCTTGACACTGACAAGCAGAAGTCACATCATGGAAGGCTAAGTCGGGAGTGGGAGCAGCCCAGGGAGGCCCCGCCGTGCAGCCTGTGTTCGGGAAGAGGAGGACGGAGATGCGGGGAGAGGAGAGTGCTACAAAATCACAGGAATGTCACCTCCAGGCGCCTCCCCCTGACTACTGTGCCCGGCAGAATGCAGAAGGAAGTTTCGTGGGGGTGCTGGAGGGGCAGGAAGCAGGTGGACTTAGAGTCCCAGTCCTGGGTGCATCCCACAATCTCTCTGAAGCCTACCTAATTCAAGGGGGTGGAGCTTAAGCAAAAAGTGGGGGCTATGACTAAAGACACTTAGGGTTCAGGGCCATCAAAGCAACTGGGATTGAGGGTCAGGTGCTGGGAGGAGGGGGTTGCAGACAAAGGAGTCAAAACTGTGAGTGATTTCTTCTCCAATCCTCACCAACCCCCAGCGTCAGGCACTCCAGGGAGACTACAGGAAACCTGGCAGAAGCTGGAGCTGAGTGTGGTCATAGCAGCCACCTGGGGTGGAGGGGGCTGAGGGGAGCCCGGGCCCACCAAGGGCTGCACACCTGCCCTCAGGTGAGACGGCAGAGGGCCACAGCCAGGGAAGGAGCAAAGTGAAGGAGACCAACCCAGTGTAAAGATGATCCTTGCAGGGTTAAGGTCATTCACTACTCCAACTTTCAGGAAAATATTATCCTCCCCAAAGAAAAGCATTATGTAAAAACCCACGTTTTAAATTTTTTAACTTAAAAGTCTAGCATCTCAAGAAAAAAACAGTGAGGCGTGCCGAAGAACGGGCCTGGGTGACCAAACCACAAGTGAAACGGCAGAAACAGACACGACCCATCAGAAACCATCATGGGCAGGATGGCTACTGGGTTATGGAATTTAAAAGTCAGTAAAGATGACAGAGTCAATAAAATAGGGGAGAAGACGGGGAACTTTACCAGAGACTTGGAGTGTATGAGAAAATTCACATGGGATTTCTAAAACTGAAAAATAGGATAGCTGGACTTAAGAATTCAGTAAGCGGGTTTAGCCAAAGATTAGAGACAGAAAAAGAGAAGATTCGTGAACTGGAAGCAGGTTCACGAGAAATCTGGATTTAAACAGAAACAGAGCGGTTTAAAAATACCAAATACACAAATTAATTCAAAATGGACCCAACACCTGAGAGAGAAAGCTGAAACAATAAGCACCTTGAAGGAAAACGTGCATAAGAAGGGACAGGTTTCCAAAACAGAACACAGTTTCAGCCATAAACGATGGATAAAGATTTCTTTAAAATCAACAATTTCTCGTCATCAAGACTCCCCTTGCAACTAAAAAGGCGAGACAAACCAAGGCAGACACCTGACAGAGGACTCGTACCCAGAACATACAAATTTCACTGATACATCCACAACGGTAGACAGCCCGTCAGAGAGCAAGGAGAGGACTTGAACAGGCACTCGCGCGAGAAATGTCCACATGAAGGGTGGATAGAAAGGTCATTGGGAAAGCAAGTCAAGACCATACACGACACTGTGCCCGCCCTCAGGGAATCCGGGCTACCCCCACCGAGTGCTGACACTTGCAAGTGTGTGAGCATGAGCATGCCTGGCCCTCCCATATTTGGTGCCCCCGTGGCTGCCCCCCAGAGCCCGGGCCTGGCCTGTGGCCGCAGTGCTTCATGGCCACGCTGGCACAGGCCACTCAGGAACACTCTTTGGTGACGTCTAAGACTAAACAAGGCATGCCTGTGGCCTGGCATCTCCACCCGATCCACCCAATGACACATCGCAGTAATGCTCTCAGCAGCGTTGTAACCTCCCAACCCAGAACCAGCAAAGGCCCACCAGCAGCGGAGAGCAGTGTGGGCACAGGAACACACCCCAGGCAAGGTGAACGGCAGCTGCTCCCAGGGGCCCAGCTGCTTCTCAGACTCACTGGGGAGCAATGGGAACCAGACAGGAAGGGCGACCGTCTGATTCACGTTCACAGAATTTGAGACAGGTAAGAGTCTGCATGAGGGAGGTCAGAGCAGCAGGCACCTGGGGAGGGAGCGGGAGCCTCATGGCTGCTGGTGACTTTCTAGCCTTTGATGCAGGTGGTGGCACCATCTGTCCACAAATGTACAATCTCACTGTGTTGTACACTCTGGATCTGCAGCCCACACTCACCTGACTTGCCCAGGGGTTTTCAGGTATGCCTTTCCCAAGAATGTCTGGCGGAACTTTTTCTGCATGCCCCTGCCTTCCCCACGGCAGAGGTTTAGGAGGTTGGGTGCCCTCACACTCCAACATGCTCATGACAATTGCTTGGAAATCCCCATATGCACTTGGGGCTGGATCAGGTTGCCTCAAGTGCAACCTGAACTCCAGGTGTCCTTTCCCTGCACCACTGAGGCCTCAGGCCGCTGGCTGCTGCAGGGAGGGCGCCCTCAGACCCTCAGCCCCATCTGGGAGGCAGAACGGTGAGCGAGGACCAGGTGTCCTGGGTGGGGTGCCCTCTGGCCCTCTCCTCACAGAGCCAGCACAGTGCCAGCCATGAAGCACTTGGCCCCACTGAGTAGCCACAGGCCAGGCCTGGGCTCCCGGGCGGCAGCCACGGGGACAGCAAGAAGCACACGCATGGCTGTGCTGCCACCTCCTGGCACAAACCTGGGGCCCTGTGAAGGGACAGCAGGCAGGCGTGGCTTGAAGAGAGGACTGACTGTGACATGAACAAGAGCATGAGGATGACCAAGACGGAGGCACCTCCCAGCATGGGAGCTCAGGAAGTGGGGCTCAGGGCCCATGGGGGAGGGATGGACTGCAGGGCAGACATCCATGTCACGGACACACCTCCTCACGGCACACACCCAAAGGCTTACGTGTCTTTTGAAGGACTTCCGGACACGGCCGCGGGCAGTTCTCTGGACCACGGCGTACTGGCGCAGGCAGTATGTGTGCTCTTGGGGCTGGAGCACATTGGCGATCACCTCCACCAGCCTGTCCTGAGGGAGGGCGTCGTACGCACCCATCACGTCCACCTGCACGGAGAGAGGTGCGCTTATAGGCTGCTCACACCCACCGTGGCCCCATGTCCTGGGTCCTACTTGTCTGCTCTGTCAAGCTGGGGCCCCAGCCTGTCCTTACAAAGCCCTGTGGTGATAGGACACGGCAGGACCTGGGAGCCCCTGAGCACCTTTCCCAGAGCCCCTACCCAGCCACACATACTACCCCACTGTGGAGCTCTCGCTGAGACATCCCCACATCCCCCAGACTGAGCACCCCAGGACGACTCTGTGTCCCCCTCTCCACACCTCAGACTGTGACACTCCAGGGTGGGCCCGTGTCCCCCTCTCCACACCCCAGACTGTGACACCCCAGAGTGGGCCCGTGTCCCCCTCTCCAGACCCCAGACTGTGACACCCCAGAGTGGGCCCGTGTCCTCCTCTCCAGACCCCAGACTGTGACACCCCAGAGTGGGCCCGTGTCCCCCTCTCCAGACCCCAGACTGTTACACCCCAGGGTGGGCCCGTGTCCCCCTCTCCAGACCCCAAACTGTGACACCCGAGGGTGGGCCTGTGTTCCCCTCTCCACACCTCAGACTCTGACACCCTAGGGTGGGCCCGTGTCCCTCTCTAAGTGCAGGCTAATGAGCAGCAGGTCCCTGGCAGATGATCGGGGTGCTAGGGCACCCCGGCTTTGTGAGCTGAGCCTGGTGCATTGCCTTCTCAAAAGGGGATCCCCCAATGCCCCGAGCAGGTGCAGTGTCATATTCTCCCCAAGAGCAGGGGCCACTGTGGAGTTGGGGTGCAGCACTGCAGAGTCCATGCCAGCAAGGAAGGCTCAAAGCTTCTGCCACCAAGAGTCAGATGCTCCCAAATGGAGACAGGGTCACCTGCCCTCCCTCTCCCAAGTCTGCAGCTCCACCACAGGGACCTCACCATGGCAGACACAGGCCCTGAAAAAGCCAGCCACACTGCAGGCTCTGGCCAGGGCCCAGGATGCAGAGTCACCCACTGGGTGAGCCTGAGGGTGCTGAGTGGGCTCACTGGGGAGGGAACACCCACCTTGACAAAGTACAGCTGAGGCACTGGGTCCTGGGCTCGCATGCGCAGCACAAAGGCACGCCAGGCCCTATAGATGTCGTCCATGCCCAGCACAGAGGCGCCCAGGAGGCCAGGGCGCTGCTCTCGCTCATAGTTCAGCACGCTGAACAGCGTCTTGACTTTGGAGGTGAGATGCTGCACCTGCAGGGCCAGTCCAGGATGGCGGCATGGTCACAGGAGGCCCCCAGCCAAGGGGATCTGGGGCCCGATGGCCCATCCCACCTCTGGGGCCCAGTGATGAGGGGCAGCTCTGCTTCTGCACCCCCTGACTACCAGCTTCCCTCAGGTGGAAAGGCCAGATAGACAACCCACCCACACCCAGGGCATCCCCAGGGACCCGCCCTGGAATTCCTAGAAACGTGGTATAAAAAACCAAGTAGCAACAGACAGGACCATCTCTCCCACCTAGCCCCCACCCCCACCACAGACGAGGAGTTCATCATCTTCATTCACAGACCAAACCAGACCCCTAATCCACACCAACAGCTTCACTTTCTTTTGGGGGAGGGAGAGACACCAATAACAAAATCACTCCCAAATGCTATAGGGAGGCACTTGGAAGGGGTCAGAACTGGTGGTGACACAGAGATGCCAGAGGTGGAAGGGGATGCTAACCACAGGGTGGGGTCCTACAGGGTCCAGGAACCCGAAGGCTAAATGGCCCAGTTCCTTACGTCCCTGCATCTCAGAGAGCGCACATCCCCAGTGCCACGGCAGGACCACGGGCACTGGGTCAGTCCCACATGTCATGGGTCCACGTCATGAGAAGCTTGTGGGGTTGGAGCCTATGCAGCAGCTTCTAGGACTGGCCTGCCTGCGAGCTCCTCCTCGGACCCAAGAGCACGCCCACCCATGGCACCCCGGGGCCCTCCGGCCTGTCTACCTGGACACCAGGCCTGGGGGTTAATGCTATTTGCTTAAAAAAATGACACAAAGGTGGTGACCTTCTTGTCCCCATGGAACGTTCTGGCTCCCACGACATAGTCCATGTTCACGATTGGCCGCAGCCCACTGGGCTTGGGGAGGAAGCGGAGTCTGGACGTCAGCAGAGCAGGCCTGGCTTCCTGGTATCGCTTGACCTCGGCCACCGACAGTTCTCGAAGCTGCACCCGATCGAAGTGTTGTCTGAAACAGAACCTCGTGAGATGGGCTCAGCAGCCACACAAGAACCCAGGTGGTCGACCTGCAGAGGTGCCGTGTCTAGGAGGCTGTACTGACACAATGACCAGACGCTGCTGGAGCGCCCTCTGCGCCAGGGGCCCAGGACACCCCTTCCCTCTGCTACAGAGCCCTGGCTAGTATGGCTGGGACAGGACAGGACGGGACCCCTGGAAGAAAGACCCCATTTTTGTCATAAGGAATGTGAGCGGGGGCTACTTGGTGCAACCTCTCAAGGGTCAGAAATGACGTCCCAGGGACCCCCAGCTCCCTGCTGGCCTCTCCCCTGAAACCTCCTACAGGGAGGGGCAGAGGTTAAGAATGCTCCCTGGGCTGTGGGTCTGGTAGTGAAGAAAGGCTGGATGGCACTTGAATGCCCAACAGGCAAGATGATGGTCCCCACAGTGAGGGTAAGAGTGACCACTTAGGATTATATATCATGAACTTTTAAATAAATTATTAAGCCAAACCGGTTTGGCTCAGTGGATGGAGCGTCGGCCTGCAGACTGAGGGGTCCCAGGTTTGATTCCAGTCGGGGGCATGTGTCTTGGTTGCGGGCACATCCCCACTGGGGAGTGTGCAGGAGGCAACTGATCAATCTCTCTCATCGATGTTTCTAAGTCTATATCCCTCTCCCTTCTTCTCTGTAAGAAATCAATAAAATATATTAAAAACAGGCAATATTTATAAAAATAAATAAATAAATTATTAAATAGGATGCACTGTGCATCTCCTCAGACCCATGAGGGCTTCTAGACCCTCTCCCAGGTGCAGGAGGACTGGGACTGGGCCCTGGTTCAGGAGTTGCTGCCTCCTTCAGAGATCTGTGGTTCAGGCTTGAGTTTGATCCAAACGTGCACGGAGCCCGGGAGCTCTGATCTGGTCTTCCCCAAGCCCTCGGCCAGGCTGGCCGCAGAGAGAAGGAAAGCTTATGTGTCGGGCTGTCACACCCCTAACACTGACGGATCCCAATCCGGCCCACATCTGTCACAGTCCTGCACAATGTATCCGAAACAGACGCAGAGCAGCTAAGACAGATCCACTCAGAGGTGAGTCGACCTTCTGGAAGTTTCCCTCTCAGGGTCCTGCCTGACAGCAGACACCTCTGACTCCAGACACTTCCCACAGTGAGTTGTCAAGTAGGCAGGTTTATCTTGTGACACAAGTCCCACTTGTCCTGCACAAATTAAAATAGAATCTGACCACACGCCAGGGATAAGTGGTTTGCTTGCACCACTGTTACCACTTTCGAGACCCTAGAGATTACCTAGCTACAGGCAAGGAAGGAGGCGCTCCAGGAGTCCATGCCAGCAAAGATGCCTGTGGGCCAGGATGGCTCCTGGAGTAGCTGGGTGGGGGCCCCGAGGTGGGGGCACGGGGAACCCGGAGCAGGAACCAGGGCTGTGTCTGCAGATGGGAAGAAACAGGTCAACGAGGCTCTGACTGTGATACCTGATCCCAATGCTTTGCAATTGGCTCCAGATGCTCTTCCGGAAGAAGAAGAGCTGGTTCTTCTGAAACGTGGTCTCCGTGACATAAAAAAACGACTTCAGCAGCTCAACCACGTATGTGCCCATCAACCAGCACAGGAACTTGGCCAGGACCGCTTCTCTTAGACGGTGCTCCGTAGCTGGGACATAGCGACCCTCTGGAACGAGAGGCACATGCTCACCCCACCTGCATGGCCCATCATGGATGCAGACACATGTTGGTGTGTATGATTTGAGGGATCCTCACAGAGCAGCAAGATCCAGAAATGCCTGGGTTTCTCCAGGCTGGACAGCAGGTGAGTGGTGGCAGTCACGCCCAGCTAAGGGATGCCACGTGCCGTGGGACTCCAAACGCGCACCGGGGCTGCTGTCCTCTCTGTGTTCCTCTGCATTTTGTTCTGTGAAACACTATGGGAAGGGGTCCACAGTGTCAGCCAGCTGCCACAAGGGCCACGGCACAGATAGAAACATGTAAAGGAGAAGAACAGGGACCCAGAGGCAGGTGTGGGACAGAAGATAGGATGGGAGACAACGGGGTGGGGACAAAGCTGAATGCACAATAACCGTGGGAAACAATAACCGTGTCTAATCTGGGACATAACCAGGCCAGTGGGAAAACAGCATACAGGTTGGGGTGGGACCAGATTAAAATAAGCTAAGGCCCTGAGGTTGCTCAGGAGAAGAGAAACCACCAAGGGAGGAGAATGGAGAGTATAATTTCTAGCTACTGGGAGGCAAAACCAGAATGAGCAGGCACATCCTCGTTCAGGACACGAGGAATAAAGGCATGGGAAAGGCAGGCAAATGAAAAAGAAAAACATGCAGACACAACTATAATTATAGAAAAGTGAAAACGAATCAGATTCTATAGGAATGTGGCAAAGACTGACATACTGGATCGAAAATGAACTTAAAATGCTAGTGATATGCTACTAAGAAGACACATCTAAATTATGGAGATTTGAAAAGGTTAAAAAAAAAAAATCAAAGAATGGCAAATGATGAGGTAAACACTAACCAAAAAGAAGCCAGTGCAGATGTTCTCTAAGCTGTTCTGACAGACTTTAAGGTAAAAAGAATTAGTAGACGTACATCAGGAAGATAAAACTTCTCAAACGTGCTGAGCCTAACGAAACCACGCAAACACTGTCAGAACAGGAGGACAATGAGACAAGCGCCGCCCAGCACTGGGCCTCGGGAAGGACACACAGTTTCCCACAGCGCCTAACAAGCCCGACACAGTGAGCACAGCCACCTACCGGGCCTCCAGGACACAAGGAACACTGGTGAAGACTGCCGATGAGACTACAAAGCAAGTTTCAAAGAGCTCAGGTCACTCAGACCACTACACAGCTGAATCGGAAATCAGTGACAAAAAGATAACAAATCCACTCATTTGAAAAATCTAAAATACATGTCTAAAGAACTCACTGATCAACATGTAAAGGAGAAGAACAGGGACCCAGAGGCAAGTGTGGGACAGAAGATAGGATGGGAGACAACGGGGTCTCCCATAAGAAATGGCAAAAATACTTAAATGCAGTCGATACAAAAATGTGAGCAACACATCAGAACACAGGCGCAGCTGGGCAGGACCAAAGAGAAGGCACCGTCAGACATCCACCTGAGAGGCCAGAGGACAAGCCCAAGAGCAGAGGAAGGATATAACCATCAGAAAAACTAATGGAATTCAAAACAAAGATCCGGTAAAGGCCCCACCCAGACTCTGCCCTGAAGGTAAAGGTGGCCTCTACAGGAGGGACACACTTGGATGGAGGCTCAGG